CAGATAATCGTCACTGGTGTTGGCCGTTGAGCGGGAATCGAACCCGGGTCGCCGGGTTCACAGCGCAGCGCGATAACCGCTACACTACCGCTCCCCTTACCACTGACACACACATACACACACACACGCATACTCACACCCACACAATTGCTCCCATGCGCAGAGGAGTAACGTTACATATCCCCACGCAGCAGAGGCGCGCCGGCCGGGCGAAATGTTCAATTCACTCGAGAGCGATTTCACGATTAAAACCGTGCTGGCGCTCGGCTATCTGATTCTAGTGCGACCAAGTGAGGTGGTCGGTTACCTTGGGAACTTGACTGTCTGGGGCGAAAACGCAAAAGCTCTCGCGTGATGAGAACTTTTGCCGTGCGAGCGCGCGCGCGCGCGGACCCATGGCCAAATTTGGACATTTCGGCTGACATGGAATGGTGTCCCCGTGCCGCCGACGGGCGGTTGGAGTTGTAATACTGGCCTTCAGGGACACACGGCAGTGAAACTCACAATGTTGGTGGTGGGGTGGAGTCCAAAATGAGTACCTGGTGCGGTGTGCAAACAATCGCAACTGGGGAGACAAAGGCGGCCGAGCGTGGTGTTAGCCACCAACCCGCCCCCCCCCCTACTCGTGTCCCGCGCCGGCCTTCATAGGTGCTCGCTAACAGCACTTGCCCCCAATAGTCTGTTCAGGCTGTACGGGGGATCTTTGTCTTTGTAGCGGTGGCGCTGCCGCTATGAAAACCGGCGGGAAGAGTTAGATTCCCACTCAGGGCCACCAACAGCAGTAACGAATCATCTGAACCGGTCGTGGCCCTTGCCTAGGTCGACTCAGCTTCAAATGAGTACCCGATGCAATGTATACAACATCGCCACTGGGGAGACAAAGGCGGCTGGGCGTGGTGCTGACCACACCGTCCCATCGTGTAGCAGGCTGGCCTTCATCATACGTGATACTCGCTGACAGCAGCACTTGCCCCAACAGTCTGTAAAGGCTGTACGGGAGACCTTTGTCTTTTGGTGCTGGGGGTGGTGCTGGCGGCGGTAAAGCGGGTTTCGTGTTTGTTATTTCTGCAGTGACTTGACGCGTCTGACAAACTTTCCGATGACTTTGTTTTAAACTGGATACGCTGAAATTCTGCGGCAGTGCGTCAGCCGTAAACACACGTTTTGTGTTTTCGCTCCGTGTGCCCTAGATTTCTTCTCCCGCTTTTTTCACTAAATATAGTCATGGGGGGGGGGGGTGGTCTCAGCCAATTGCCATTGACGAGATGCTTACAATGCGTGAGTTTTCTTTTAAGCTGGGACACAATCGGCCTTGCCAATTCTATCCCGTTCGTGCGTGTGATTGCAGCGTGGTTGAGCAGCTAAATGCCCAGTGTCGAGGTCTGCTGGCCACGACGAGAGGGCTTCAGGGGAGAGAGATTTCGTGTGGCGTTCCTCTTCGGGTGAAGGAGCGCAGACCACAGTGCATTGTGGGGATTGTTGCGTGGCCCCACAATCGCACTGTGGCTTGTCTTTAATGTACCGCATCTCTCTATAGGCCTATATAGCTCTATGTGTCTATCGGTCTCTATGAGTCTCTCTGTATCTGTATGGGTCTCAGTGTAGCCTTTGCGTCTGTGTGTATCTCTATGAGTCGCCATGTATCTCCATGGGGTTGTTATACGGGCCATAGTTTGGGGTTGCACTGTGGCGTGTGTCTTTATTTTTTTCTGTTTGTTAAGGGGATGTACGCATCGGCCTGGTGATGTTCTGATGCGGATGATGGTTCCACCACCAGTGTCTTCGAGGAGTAGGAGTAGGAGTCTTGAATGAGGTGTTTCTCTGCAATAGCATGGTGCAGTCGGGACGTTGATTGCGTATTTTTAATGAATATGAAAATACAATTGTTTTTCATTGTCTGATTATATATATTTTCTATAATATTGGTGGTGGTGGAGTCGTGGCACGGTGGTTGGCATACTCCGTCGAGCTCGGTGTGATTGCCAGCCACGGCCAACATCAGTGGCGAGTGACAACACGCACCGACCTGAGCGGTGAAGTATTGTCAAACAACACACAAGACTGACACGGCCTATGACGACCTTCGCCCAGCAGCGGATTGACAAAGGGCGAGACTGTATTCTTTATTTGATAATTATGATCTTATTTCTTATTATTCACGAATCCATAAACCACTGCATTTCAAGTGCATTTTCATTAACTGACAAACAGCCTCCAAAGAATGGGTTATGGAATAATATAGGCGCGCAAGTATTTTTTTGTTATAATATCAGTTAGCTTTGTTATGAATACAAAAGTTGCGAGAGAGATAAAAAATAATAATCTGAAAGGGCTTTTTTTTCATGTTTTTTCAAAAAAGACAATTTCTTTCCAACAACGCCAAAGGAATCAACGCGCGCTCGCGAACCAATAGCGAGCACGAATCATTCCTTCAAGTCGTGCGGTTTGGTCTTTTTTTCTGTCGTTAAAGGAACGCACAGTGACTTCATAACATTGCAGCGTCATGGTAGACAGCTAAAGTTGCATTGTTTTGTACGTGTATATTTTTTTTACTGCTTCTTTTTGGACCACGTGAATCACATTTTCATTGCTGGCTCAGAACTTGCAAAAATCGTTGGCACGGCAGTTTTTGAAGATCGTTGCGCGTGCGCACAGATTAAAAAAAAATCCACAAAGCTGCTCGGAACTTTTTTTTGGTATTTTGTTAATGCCCCGGGTCGGACAGCTAAAGGTAATTGCAGTTAATGAGCCCCTTGTAAATGGCCTGCATGGTCAAAATGAGTGGTGGTGAGGTCAGCTCCGAAAGCTCAAAAACCATTGTTCCCACCAGCACTGGCGTATAAACATTATCACGTTTAATGGCTCCACATGTGCGGTTCACACCAATATAATGGCACTAAAATCCACGGCTTGGACATTAAGTAAAACAAAACTCTACGCCTAGGAGACATATGCCCGGGGGAGGGGGGTGGGGGGGGCTTAATTTGTTTTGAACCGTAATATTTTCTGGCTTTCACTCTGGACAGATTAGGAACAGGCGACATGTGAACTCGTAACCACTGCGAAAATAGCGAGCGAGGGGGTATACTGGACGTGGTGTTCCGGCTGTGATAAAAAAGGAAACAAAACAATCCATGAACAGACCTCACTGCGAATTAAGTCGTCCATATGCTGCAATCTCAAACTGCCATTGGACTGCTTCACGCGCAGAAAACACAAACAGACCAAGGGTCTTCCCCCCCTACCCCCCCATAGCCTATGCTGTCTGTTGGGACAGTTAGTGAGCACCTATGGATGCTGACAAAACATTACAAAAACCGCACACAAAGATAAAGTTCTCCCCCCCCACCGTAACCTTAACAGACTTTTGGGACAAGTGCCGTTAGCGAGCGTCTATGAAGGCCGGCACGATACACGAGGGTGTGGGTGGTCACCACCAGGCTCGACCACCTTTGTCTCCCCAGTGGTGATATTTTACGCACCGCTCCAGGCATTCATTTGAGGCTCAGTCGACCTCGAGGAGGTCCATGATCGGTTCAAAGAATCGTCACCGGTGTTGGTCGTGAGCGGGAATCGAACTCGGCTCGAGGGGTTCCTAGTGCAGCGCGCTAACCGCTACTCTACCGCTCACACATAGTCAGACACACGGTAAGGGCAGAACGACTCGGGCAAGTTCAGATTCCATCACAGCTCGAATGAGACGATCGGCAAACCGCAATGATTAAAACGCACGGTTAACATAGACCTAATTGTACATTTGTTTAGAAACGTTCCTACCCCCATTTGATTTTAATAAAAAACATGGAACTTTGTGCAAAGTTGCCGTTCGTATAACGTGGGCGCAGCGTTAAGAGTTTTGAGGCCAGAACACAAAGAAAAAACACCACCCCCCCCCCCCCTTCGGAGTTCAAGACGCGTTTTTGCGGTACACACGTGACTTCGATCCCCCGGACAATTGGCACATGTGCTGCACACGTGCTGCACACGTGAGGCTCGTGTCCGAACGCGGTGGGTTGAATGGCTCAGCCATCACACGGCATCGCTAAAATATTCCACGATCCAGCCATTTCCCAAATGCGAAACCACCGCCCTCCCCGGCACCGCCATTAAATATTCCACGCGCCCCCCCCCCCCCCACATCCCCACACCGTGGGTGTTTGTTTGTTGTTGTTGTTGTTGCAGAATTCGCTTTATTTGTAATTCAAGCAATTTACCTGCATACCCCCTTGAGATGTAGCATCACGTTTTGCAACGTTGTGTGTGTGTGTGTGTGCCCACGGTATAAAAAAAAACGCACTAGGGCTACAATTATATATTTTGTTTAAAACCCGCAGAATACAAACACACACACACGATACAAGATACAACGATTACGGGAACGTCAAATACATTCGTACAGTGTTCAAGAACAGGAAATGTACTTGGTCGGGCTGCTTAGAAGAAGAGGAATTACAAAAGAGATCGTAACACCCCTCCCCACCCAACCCCACCACCACCACCTCCTCCTGCACAATCGTGCGTATTAAAGCAATCGACGTCGTCTGCGGACGCGTCACCGTTGTTGATTGCGACAAAGTCGTTCAGCGGCCTCTGCCCTTAGAAGCATCAACGGCGATCGGGCGAATCAACAAGCATCGCTGCCTTGTAGCGGTGCGTCCGCCCGCCCCGTCCAGCCTCGCCTATTAGTTTTATGTTTTCCCCAGCTGTCCTGCCCACAGCCCAATGGGAGATGAATTGATTTGGATTGGCTCCAGCTGTATCTGGTTTCTTTCCCAAACTGCGTAATCTGCACTGCAATCCCCAGTGACTTCCAAGTTAGTTTCGATAGCCCCCCCCTCACCTTACCCCCCCCCCCCCATCCTACACCGGTCCCGCCCCCCCCCAACACTCGCCCCCTCTACCACCACCAACCATCCCCCTCGTCTCCAATCCCCTACCCCCAAATGAAATCCCAAAGCAGCAAACCTCCCTCCACCCATCCCTCCTCCCCCCCCCACCCAACTTTCTCCCTCCAACCTCCAGTCTCCACCAGCGACCCACGCGCTTGGCACTCAAAATCAATGCTTCCCATTAGCCGGAGCTGTTTCTCATGCAGCAAGAGCAGCAGCAGCAGCAGCATCATCAGCAGCAAATTCCTTGCCGGCAAAGCTGGTGGTCGTGGTGGTGCATGACGCCGGCCGCGCGTGGCTGCGGCCGAAGGGGGCCGCGTGTTGGTACGGCACGAGTCAAAGGAGAGGGGAGGGGGGTGGACACGGGCTCCAGAGCGTTTGACAACGACAGCGAAGAAGTCAATTTATTGACGTAACGCAAGACCAGGCGTCATCGGAGGAGGAGGAGGAAGGAGGACGTGGAGGAGGTTCGAGCGAGCCACTGGCCGGAGATGTTGTTGGAGCGACGCGCGTGCCACATGGATACCGTTCAGAACGTGCGCGCGTAACTTCTTAAATCATCATGACAGCTTCGTAAATAAACAGGGGGGGGGGGGGGGGGAGGGCCACTTCTGGAAATTCGCTCGGCCCCGGGGGCGAGAGGCTCCATTACTTGAGCGCGACCGTGACGCAGCGAGGACCTCAGACGCTCGCGAGTTGAGCTCGGGAAGAGGCAGACACACGCAGAGAGAGAGAGAGAAAGAGGATTTGAGAAAGCGGAATCTTCCCGCCATGGAAGTGAGCTTCAAGATGCCGGCTGCGGACATCGCGGCGCTGGGGAACAACAACCCTCGCATCCAGACCCACGTGCTGGGGGCCTACAGCGAGGGGCCGCTGCACAGCGCCGTACAGGAGATCAGCATCGACCTGCACGGCTTCAAGAAGGCGGTGGACAAGAAGGTGGAGGAGATGGCCCGTCAGATGGGCCCGCTCATCAAGATGATCAACGACCTCCGGGACGAGAACATGAGGCTGAGGGCCGAGCAGACTCGGCTCGCCGGTCGCGTCGAGATGCTCACCAAGTTGCTCGGGGTCGATGATCGCGCCGCCGCACCGCTCGCCACGGTGGCCGCGGCGGCTCCCTCCGCCGCCGCGGCCACCGCCTACGAGCGCCCGACGTCGGCGGTGGCCGTAGCCCTCGACGGCGCCGGTTCGCAAAAGTCGGCGTTCAACACCACGCTGAAGATCAAGCTCGTGAGTAACGCCCGGCGCTGTGCAGGGGTCACGTTAAGGTTGATGGGGGCTCGGGGGCTGTTAGTAGTTCGTTGGGGGGGGAAGGGGGCTTATCTTTTGGATATTCACTTCCTTCACGCTGTTGCGTTCCCACCACCACCACCACTACAACGACCGTCACCCATGCGCGATGCTTAATGCTTCCCATGGTTATTTCAGTTCTGTGTGGTTGTTTTTTTTTGCAATGCGGTGTTACGCAGCTGTGACGCTAAATCAGAGTCGAGACGAGTACAACTCATTGAAGTCTGGCACTCAACTGGTATCAATACACACGGCGATGCTACGGCTGCAAACGATCAAATTACCTACAGGGTCTATCACAGTGCCCCAGCGTTGCGTTTCAACCGCCGTAAAGTTGTACGCACATTTTTGGAGGCAAAATTCGACGGTCTGGGCTGCAGCCTCGAAGGGGCCCTGCATTTATGCGGCCCAGGTTGCCACGGCGACGTTGGGTGTGTGTGCGTGTGCTGTCGCGTACGATTGTAGCGACAGATGGTTTGATATGGGGGCACAGATAGAGATATGGCGAGATTAAGAAATATGAGGTGGTTGGAAGTGGTGAGTCAGACTTTGGTGTGGTGATAATGACCCTGGACAGAAAGGGGACCAAGAATGCAGAGTTCACCTGAGTGAGGACAATTCCAGGAAGAGGTGACTTGCATAGAGACCCATAGACTTGCATAGAGACCCATAGACATAAACCGACTTACACAGAGAGACATAAACTTACATAGAGACTCACACTCACATAGACTTGCATAGAGACCCATATACTTATACCGACTTACACAGAGAGACGTACACTTATATAGAGACTTACACTCACATAGACTTGCATGGAGACCCATAGTCTCTATAGACTTACGACTTACAAAGAGAGACAAACTTACATAGAGACCCACACTTACATAGAGTTACATACACATATAGACTAACACCGACTCAAACAGAGACGCAAAGAATGCCATAAAGAACTATAGATGAACACAGACCCACATATACCTATATAGACACCCATTGACTAACTAAGATTCACACATATAGATTAAGACCCAAAGACCAACAGAGACTTACATATACTTACATAGAGACCCAGAGATTATCATATGCACAGAGACTTGCATATAGTCACATAGATTTGTATAAAGATCCTCGGCTTTACATAGTGACCGAGAGACTACACATGAACATTAGGGTGGAAACTGGGGGGCAAAGTTCAGGTAAGGAGGAGGAGTATGAGGTGGTTTCACGTGGTGAGTGAAACAAGTGATGAAGAACTAAAGCTAAACTTCTCATTTTATTTGCAAGGTAAGGCCCACACTGAGCTATGTACAGTGAGGGAAAAAAGTATTTGATCCCCTGCTGATTTTGTACGTTTGCCCACTGACAAAGAAATGATCAGTCTATAATTTTTATGGTATGTTTATTTGAACAGTGAGAGACAGAATAAAAACAAAAAAATCCAGAAAAACGTATGTCAAAAATGTTATAAATTGATTTGCATTTTAATGAGGGAAATAAGTATTTGACCCCTCTGCAAAACATGACTTAGTACTTGGTGGCAAAACCCTTGTTGGCAATCACAGAGGTCAGACGTTTCTTGTAGTTGGCCACCGGTTTGCACACATCTCAGGAGGGATTTTGTCTCACTCCTCTTTGCAGATCTTCTCCAAGTCATTAAGGTTTCGAGGGTGACGTTTGGCAACTCGAACCTTCAGCTCCCTCCACAGATTTTCTATGGGATTAAGGTCTGGAGACTGGCTAGGCCACTCCAGGACCTTAATGTGCTTCTTCTTGAGCCACTCCTTTGTTGCCTTGGCCGTGTGTTTTGGGTCATTGTCATGCTGGAATACCCATCCACGACCCATTTTCAATGCCCTGGCTGAGGGAAGGAGGTTCTCACCCAAGATTTGACGGTACATGGCCCCGTACATCGTCCCTTTGATGCGGTGAAGTTGTCCTGTCCCCTTAGCAGAAGAACACCCCCAAAGGATAATGTTTCCACCTCCATGTTTGACGGTGGGGATGGTGTTCTTGGGGTCATAGGCAGCATTCCTCCTCCTCCAAACACGGCGAGTTGAGTTGATGCCAAAGAGCTCCATTTTTGTCTCATCTGACCACAACACTTTCACCCAGTTGTCCTCTGAATCATTCAGATGTTCATTGGCAAACTTCAGATGGGCATGTATATGTGCTTTCTTGAGCAGGGGGACCTTGCGGGTGCTGCATGATTTCAGTCCTTCACGGCGCAGTGTGTTACCAATTGTTTTCTTGGTGACTATGGTCCCAGCTGCCTTGAAATCGTTGACAAGATCCTCCCGTGTAGTTCTGGGCTGATTCCTCACCGTTCTCATGAACATTGCAACTCCACGAAGTGAGATCTTGCATGGAGCCACAGGCCGAAGGAGATTGACAGTTCTTTTGTGTTTCTTCCATTTGCGAATAATCGCACCAACTGTTGTCACCTTCTCACCAAGCTGCTTGGCAATGGTTTTGTAGCCCATGCCAGCCTTGTGTAGGTCTACAATGTTGTCCCTGACATCCTTGGAGAGCTCTTTGGTCTTGGCCATGGTGGAGAGTTTGGTATCTGATTGATTGATTGCTTCTGTGGACAGGTGTCTTATACAGGTAACAAGCTGAGATTAGGAGCACTCCCTTTAAGGGTGTGCTCCTAATCTCAGCTCGTTACCTGTATAAAAGACACCTGGGAGCCATAAATCTTTCTGATTGAGAGGGGGTCAAATACTTATTTTCCTCATTAAAATGCAAATCAATTTACAACATCTTTAACATGCGTTTTTCTGGATTTTTTAGTTGTTATTCTGTCTCTCACTGTTCAAATAAACCTACCATTAAAATTAAAGACTGATCATTTCTTTGTCAGTGGGCAAACGTACAAAATCAGCAGGGGATCAAATATTTTTTTTCCCTCACTGTAGCTCTTTTTCAGAGGCAACCTGGCCACAAATGATAGCTCAACGAAGTGGCTTATCGTCATCAGGTGGACATGTAGAACCTCCAAATAATCTAAACGCGCGACGTTGATTCTAAATGTGGAGCGAAACACCGGAGGACCCAGAGAAAAAATCCACGCGACCACGGGGAGAAGAGACTCGCAAACTGCAATTATACAGCAGGGGTCGGGACCGAACCCATGACCTCCTGCACACCAGGCGAGGTAGTTGACATCTCATAGCCACTGCGACACCCTGTGGAGTGGACGTCGAGGTGATGGGCCAGGCCAGGAATGAATGGACAGAGAGAAGGAGGAGGGCAGAGTCCACGCGATTCGGCCGAAGATGTCAGGAAGAGACAAAGAAGAGAGAGTTAGGGATATCCGTATAATAACTGGGCTGATTGGTGCCTTTATATATTTTACATTTGTAATGCATTGCAGCAAGCAAAAAAAATCGTAACTTTTCAGGCCTTTATCAATATACTGATTGATTAAGGCCATCTAATGTGGTGTTGGTCATGAGGGTTATTTGACCGCACCTCTGATTATCACGGTTGCGAAAGAAGTGCAGTATACGTACATACATACTTCACCATGCTGGTCAGTGCGGGATGGTTAGGTGAAGGTTAGCCCAGGGCTGCTTCAGGTATCGCTCATCGCTGGTGTTAACCGTGGCGAGGAACTGTACTTTGGTTGTTGTCTTCATTTGTAATGGAATGATGTCAACAATAACACGTGGTTTCCAACTCAAAACAAACAAGGGGGGGGCATTGATCATTTAGTGTTTACGGCACTGAGCCAAGCGACTGAAATTCCACATTTTCTCGTGACAGGGACGATGACATCCAAATCGCAATCCCTCTCTGCAATGTAGAATTGCATCGATTGACCCCTGGAGATGTAAAGGTCCGAGTTGGCACTTAAGCAGGATTGAACTCACAAGATTGTGATGGCTATCCACGCACTCTGACCACCGCATCGCCCAGCCAGATTCGTGACGTCCCGAGCTTAAGATAATTTTACTCACCCAGGTGACTCTTTGCTCGTACACAACTTCTCTAAGAAGGCGAATGTGAAACAGCCGTTCATGCCAACTTGCCTGTGCGCCTGTCCGCACTCACAATGTCCCCATTGACAATGGGGTGACGGTGGCGAGGAACGGTTCACGCAAAGGTGGGGACTGAAGGCTTGCACAGAGCGCCGTTCACGAAGTGTGAGAGCTGGAGCGCTTGAAGAGATCGTCCCTTCGAAAACGAGAACCGCAACCGAGCATCCGACTCCACGATCCATCTCACAATTTGTTTTCCCCATCAGGGTCCCATGGTGCTGCAGTCTCCAACTATTATACCCCCAGTCTCTCCAGCCGTGGTGGAGCATTTCCCCAAAACGTGACCAGTCGTTTTTCTTTGCTGGGTTGGTGTTATTGGTGGATGTGTTGGGGTTTATTTGTGATTGTGCACCACTGCCAATGGAGTATCCCTTGAAAAAAAAACTAGTCTAAATTTTTAGGCACAGTGCTATAGCCACCGTGGGTGCCTTGGGTGTCCGGGAACCGCCACGGTGTTTAGATTCGACCAGGAAGGAGACACCCACAAATTTCCGGACCAAAAAAATCTTGGTATTTTGTGAGTCTGCGCTTTTCTCGCTTCAACAAGGTGACAGGACGTCCATCAAGGAGATCAAGGAATGCAATTGGCCCACGTGCACGTGCTAGACGGATCGTTGCATCGCAAAGCTGCGGGAGATGGAGACGGTTTGGGGTGGCCTCCAGCCAGCAGTGAATTGATCATGGCCGATGACGATGATAACGAATCTAAGGCAACCCGCTAGATTTCTCTATCAAGTCACCTCGAGTTAACTTCAATATCTCGTAACGCTCCTCTTCCAACCCGCAACAACCTGGACTCTCCCTTCCCGTAGTTACCAGCCGTCCTCTCGAACGTGGGTCTCTCGAAATTCTGAGTGCGATTCATTCGAGCCGTGTTTTGGCCCTCGTCTGATTGCA